AAATATAACAAAAGATTTCATGTCAATGCTATCTCTGGGACTATTATGCAAACCACGGTTGAGCCATAAACTATTCTTTTTTGAAACGTGTCCGACTGAAATACAATTTATAACAGCATGAATTAATTAGGTATTCAAAATTAAATTAAATAATCAAAATTAAATTAAATATTCAAAATTAAATTAAATATAAAAGGATTCATAAGGTAAAACTTTTTCCCATTTTTTGTGCGATCAATTTAAAAGATCAGAAATTATTTGCAGTGCACATTGACCTCCAGCACTAGATGACATTGCTTTGTCAACGAGGAATCACAACCTATAAAATCAATAAAGACGTATCTTCACGATGACGACTTTAATGCTAGACAGGTTTACAAACGTTAAGGAAGACGAAATGAATTCATTTGATTTAAACCGGTTGTAAATCGTTGAAATGCTTAGGGTTCGCGCGAGCGTGTGTGTGTGTGTGTGTGTGTGTGTGTGTGTGTGTCTGTGTGTGTGTTATCACGAAGTTAAGGAGAAGTACTTTTAAAATATGTTATTTCCAGGAACAAGAGGACAAATTAATATATTTTTGGTAAATAGGAGATTTCAGAAGCCTCAAGAAAGGCCTCACAATGAGCCATAACATTTACTAGTATTAAGCAATATTTCCAAACGAGCACAGTTTTTGATTTATCAGTCACTGTCTTATTTTTGCAGCGGAACTTAAAACGGTTTCTTGTTGACTTGTAGGTTATGTTTATTCATCATGGGTTACTAGGGTTTCTTTGTGGTCATTTTTTAACAAACTAATTAAAACCTTATTTCATGGAACTTTATGCCGAAAAATAATAACAATACACAATTTCATTTTTACTTTTCGTGAATAGTTTATGGATAAATGTTAAAATAATAATACATGGAAAAGATGGAAATTGTGCATTGTATATTTAATACACCATTTACATTATAACAGCATGGCTATTAAAGTGTTCGTATAGAACAATTTGATATACTAATGATGCTGATATGTCAATACGCTTATATAAATATAGTTTCAACATTACACTATCGAGGCTATACTCTTTAGATCAATGGTGAATTTCCTCTTATTAATCATTATTGATATAAGAAATTAAATAAAATATATCTTAATCACGTCTCTCTCTCTCATGCACACGCAAACACATACACACGCATGTACAGAGGACATAAATAGATTGAATTATGTGAAGCGAGAGAGAAAAAGAATCTGAGCTGGATGAAATCAATAAACTTCATCTTACACCAATTAATTTACAAAGACCCCGGTCGTCAGATCAGTATGCGTACACTTTTCATTGGAGTTACCTACAGTGTTCATAATATAAATGATACAAAGCTACAATAGCCCGTTGAGATTACGGTAAATTTCTTGGTCACGATACTGTAATCTATGGAATATCTTGTTTTGATTTTTATATATATATAACAATACTATTTAAAGGTTCTAAAACAGATCTTTATTAATATTAAAATTTCAGAAGGACTGTGTATGTAGGTGCGTGTGCGTGTGTGTACGTGTGTGTGTGTGGTTGGTTGGTCAGGAAATAGATTAATCGACCAACAGAAAAATGTAGGAATGGACAATGATAACGACTAACAATAATCTTACGGTGTCTCCCCAAACCCAACACCCCTCTCTGTCTCTCTGTTATAGTTCTATCATCATATTAGTTTTGCACCAAATCTCATTCTCTCTGTCTGTCTGTCTCTGGACAATTGTCACAATAAACAGGCGAATATCAATTAAGAAACGAAAGTAGCAGATTTTCGCATGTGTACTGCGACGATTTTTCTGTACCCATAAATTACAGTAACATTTATATTTGAACCGACCAACTGGAGAGAGAGAGAGAGAGAGAGAGAGAGAGAGAGAGAGAGAGAGAGAGAGAGAGAGAGAGAGAGAGAGAGTCCAGTACGTTGATAGATATTGTGACTTGTAGCGTGAAGTCACTAATTGCTAGATTTTTACCAAATGACAACTTAACAAAATGAAATGAAAGATGCTACCCTACTTCAAAGTGTATCCGATACTTCACTTGGTTTAAATTTTGATTAAATTTGAGATGCTTCCGTCTGCACAGGGTGCTGTTTTAATTAATTTCAAAGGTATTAATTTAAAAGAAAACTGTAACCGAAACGCACATGGAAGGCCAAGAGTGTACATGACACAAAATCAGAAAACACAATAGACTCACTTGTTTCCCATAGTCATCCTGTCATAAAATAGATTGCACAAGTTACATCTTTTCCTAAATTTAGATATTTTTGTTTTAACTTGTCTACACATAGGTCACGAAGTTCATCTTTTTCACTAAATTAAAGCTTGACAAAAGATTGAGAAATCGTTTTTTTTCCTAAGTAATACAATATCTCAACGAACTATATATATATATATATATATATATATATATATATATATATATATATATATATATATATATATATATATATATATATATATATCCTGCTACATAAAATAGACCAATGAAGCCAGGACTTTTTTGAATTAATGATGGCCAGCACAGTCTAATAGAGAATTTCTGCAAAAGGTGAACAAAAATATAGATGTTGAATGTTTTTATGAAAATCTTTTTTCCGCTAAAACTGTTTCGAAGGAAACGCCCAATTATATTATGTTGATGGCCACTGCACACAGGAGTATGAATAACAGATGAGACATCAGCATAAATGATGAAGATGAAAATCTGATTTTAGATGAGATGCAATGGCGTTCGTTTTTCATTTAAATAAACAGCAGCAACCCCACAAAAATCCCTTCAAGAAGTAAACATCTTATTATTAATCGTTTAATAAATAATGAAAAGAGCAGAACTATCTCCGGAGATAATTAGTGATTGTGATTCACCTTTAAGCATCAAGAAAAAAAAATCGAGGATAAAGATGTGGCATTAGGTTACACTAGTAGCAGTGACTTAACACTCTGCATAACCTTATCGCATACAAAAGGGTTCCTGTCAAATTAAATGATGCCTTACCTAACATTTAAAAACCGGCTATCATTAGTACCGTTTTCGTTCTCTCCTCTCATTTGCACCGAACCTACTACAAATAGAAACTATGGGATAAAGCATTAAATTCCGCAACTTTGCATTGTATAGCGCTTCGACATCTAGCTGCGATGCATCTGTGACGGTAGCATCATTTTTGTCTACGCAAGAGATACCACGCCGATCAGATCTCAACACTATGTATGTATGTATGTATGTATGTATGTATGTATGTATGTATGTATGTATGTATGTATGTATGTATGTATGTATGTATGTATGTATGTATGTATGTATGTATGTATGTATGTATGTATGTATGTATGTATGTGTTTTAAGTTAATTAGATAAGTACGGACTATGAATCTGGTTGTTCGATGCTGAAGCCTTTTCATCACAAATGAGTCATTGGCAAGACACTTCCCATTAACCGCTAAAATGGTATGTAAAGAAATTATTTTGTTAGCATGAGTAGAGCACATTCCCGTATTCATTTGTATGTCGATAACAAATTACAATTGCACAAGATGAAGAATCAAGACAAATGCATAGAGCACGTATTTTCGTTGAAGCATCAGGAGAATGAATGATTTTGAGGTTGTAGCAGTACTAATGCCGATAATATTTGCAAAAGGAAAGTATGTCTGCACAAAATCTTGCCAGTGATTGTTAGTATTCTTAACATAAACCAACCTTTGTTTTACAAGTTAAATTAAGCAGAGATGTAATTATATATTGATTCTATTTTATATCAGGAACCTCGTATGTATGATGAGGTGATCATTTACTAATTGCGTTTTGACAGTATAATGATTGAAGCATGTAAATATTGAAGTATCAAGTAAATAATGTGCTTTATTTATGCCATTCCCTGTCTAAAATACAATACCACAGAATATCTACAAAATACATTTTCTTTAACTTGACATGGTTAATAATTTATTTCAGTGTGTACCTGTCTTACACAAATGCATATATCACATATTGATTTCTCATTTTTTTCTTTTATTTGTTAGCGATCATCGAACTCGGGATTGTTGAATCCATGATCAGACAACCTTTGTGTACGTATTTTTTTTCAGGCAGTTTTCACCTAATTGTTCATTTTAGCAGATGTTCAATACACATTCTTGTTTTCTTCTTATGCTACAACAATAAAGGTCAGTGAATTGATATATGCCCAGCGTAACAAAAGAGTCATTAATAACATTAACGCTGTCATCGCCCATTTTAAATAACTAATTAAAGATAATATAAATCTTCGCAAATCTTAAAACTTATAATGAATAACTGTAATATCAGTCCTCGGGGTATTCACTTACATACAGCATGTCATATCATTTATCTCCATATAATCCGTTCTTATGCTGGAAAATTGATCAGTACTAGGTCATACCAACCCAGAGTTTTCTAAATCTCTTCAAACATTTATTAACATACTAGAATGCCACCTCGGCGTGAATCCTCAAAGAAACAAACTCGTGACTGTTTTCTTTTCGTCAAACAAACATGATAGTGGTTTCTTTTGATCTTCGACTTAGAAGTCTGAGGACGTTTGATCTGCTAGTACCCCTTCTTATTGGATTTTAGCAAGAAATGGGTTTTTCTATATATATATATATATATATATATATATATATATATATTTTTTTTTTCTTTCTATTGGCTGGCTTAAATAAAGGACAATTGAATTGAACCAATCATAAATGTTGATTCATACTCTATTGGAGTGTGAGGTAATGTGTATTTGTGTGATTTGGATTTTTAACGTAGCTTAAACAATTTTTCAGCCATATCGCTACGATGTCTGCAGTGTGAGGATAATGGATGGTGTCTAGCACTGGGGCCTCATGTCGCAGTCATGTCTCATCATTCTCCACCCAGTCACATTATCCAGACACTGAGAAGACCAGCCCTAGCTGAGCACCAAGAGTGGCAGCTGCTTGTACCAAGTCTTGGATATGAATCAGCCAGGGTTCAAACGCGCGACCTCCCGTATCCCAGACGGAAGCTCTAACCACTAGGCCACTGGAGGGGTGGAGTGTGAGGTAATGACTACCATATAAAGACAATTCCCATGTCAATAGATCGACAACTTTCCACACTTAATAGTATCGGATTAATGATGGTGTGGACGTTAATTCTGTATACCTAGATTGGCATTAAATATGGATAAGTTTCTGATCAAGAGAGGCCAAATAGCAGAAAAGCAGACGAAAATTTGGGGTTTGTCAGCGATACGAATTTCTCTCAAATATTTCAGAAAACTTTAGGACATGGTACAAAACACGGAAATTGTTCAAAGATAAGACGGACCATAGTGAAAAGCGTATTCGTTATATTCGGATTTAACGGACATACCAATGGAAGGAATGCAGTGAAAAGGAAAATAGAATACGCATATTTTGTTGTTTGTGCAAATAATTTTACAGTATGCACACAAAATGTAGCGTTATTTTCATTCATGGCCATAAGATGAAGAACTTATCTGTCATATTTATCTCGGATGAATGAATATATATGACTGCAGGTCGTCTTATTCTAGCCAGTGAATCTTGTCTTTATTTCTTTTTTAAATACAAATAATATGCAGATTGACTTGCGACACACACACGCGCGCGCGCGAAAAATGTACTTTTGACCTTCATCCGGAATTTAGTTTTGCGAATTTGTTTGCCAAATAAATGATGATTTTTGTTTTTAAACATTTGTCATTTGTGCTTAAGATCTAGCAGAATCAATGTTTTATTATTGTGTTCAGTAGTTCCTTTGGGCTGGAATTTATTTCTTCAAATTGTTAAAGTGAATCGTTTTCTCTGGGAATAGAATGCTTATTTAAAAAAATGATATTCTTGGACAGGCATTCACTTGGATTTTTCGTGAATTAAACATTGGAATTACGTTACTGTGTTTCAACAAAATAATGTTCGTACAACACTACGAAAAAGGCCGCCTCCGGCACATCAACACATTCAGCGTTGGAATTATTTTGGATATCTGCTAAAGTTTATTCAAAACTTTCAATTATTAGGACTCGTGTCTGTAATTCTTGGATTTTTTGGGATTTAATTCGAAATACCGTATGTATTTTCTTCATTTTCATTTGTATTTTAGGGAAATAAAGTATTTGTTAAATTTTACAAAGATTGTTGCTTTTAAATCTTGTCTGTAACTTATATTAAGAGAAGAAACATGTAAGAGAAAATTCGGGATTTTTCAGCGATACGAATTTCTCACAAATATTTCAGAAAACTTTATTTTTGATATTTAAGTTCACATTGATTTGGAAGTTTCTAAGTCCCAGGTATTATTTCACATTTTATAAATCTTAAGTGAAACCAACAAGCTTTCATAATGTCATTAAAGTGGAGATCTTTATTTTAAATCTTACTTAGCAGCAGTTAGACTCCTTGAAAAAAAAATGTATTGCTCATGCTGACAAGAAAATATGAATTTTCTGAGGCAAACACTTTAAAGAAGAAAATAAAAAAAGATATCTTGGTCCAGTATTTGGTAGAAAAAATGTTTTGAATTAAAATGTTTTGGAAATGGTAAGTCTCCATCTGGCTCTAAATTGCAATTTAATGAATTTAAATTAAAATACAGAATTTAAATTGAGTTAAGAAAGCTTGAGTTTCAAAAGAAACAAATGCAAGTGCAATTTGAGAGAGAGAGAGAGAGAGAAAGAGAGAGAGAAGAGACAGATGATTTATAGAAAAAGAAAAACAAATGCAATGTGTGTGTGTGTGTGTGTGTGTGTGTGTGAGAGAGAGAGAGAGAGAGAGAGAGAGAGAGAGAGAGAGAGAGAGAGAGAGAGAGAGATAGAGAGAGAGAGAGAGACAATTACAGTTACAGAAAAGAGGAAAAAGAGACAGAAATATTTTGCTGAATTGACCAAGAAAGCATTGGACTGTTATTACAAAATGCATCTATAACTCCTTGTCAGTAACGGATAGTGCTGATCATTATATTGAAAAGCAATGCATTTTAAATGGTTATAAGATGGTACCTGAGGCTTATCGACAAAATTTTAGGAACTATAGAAAAGAAACTAGACAACTCTTGTCGACTTTGCCTGAAAGAGCAGTTATTTAATAGGTGGTGCTTAGCCAAGTTAGTTAGTCAAGACAACTCGTATTAGTTAAAGAGTTCAAGAACTGCGTCCATAGTGACGTTAAGACTTACCTAGCTGAGTCCAAAGGTCGAATCATTTAGAAAATGTTGCTCATACTGCTGAAGAGTATTCATAGTTCATAAAGTTTATTTTATCATTAACTCCTCCTCTCACCAGTCTTTAGCTAAAAATAGTTCAGTCTAATACGAACACTTCCAAACCTCAAATTGGCACAACTTTTTGAAATCAAGTTCCTGATAATACGGATCAGAAGTTTTTATTTCTTCCTACGTGTACTTATGGCAAGAAGAAAGGGCACCTAATTTCTGATTGTTATAAACTGAAAAGATAATCAACAGCGTCAAGACAGACCTATTCCAAATGCTCATATTCTAAGAAGTCAAAGTCAAAGTCATGTATTGAAAGTATTGTTGGGTCAAACAAACCCCCAGTCTGGTTTTATTATGAAAAATTAAGAACCGTTCATGTTAAAGGGTTCGATATCACTCATGCATGATTCGGACAATCCTATCCTTGTTAAAATTTGAAGAGACACAGAAGCTTTTCAAAGTCTCTTTTTATTAGGTATTTTGACTTTTTCTGAGAAGTCTTCTTCCAATGAAAGTATTCTTATTTGGGAGAGTAGAATGCCACTTTTGGTAATGTTCTTCTCCTTTGTGTAAATTTATTAGCAGACTTAGTCTCAGGACCCGTGCAGTCTGAATATTGTATTCTTAACCCATCGAGGGTATTCATTCTTTTTTTTTCTAGGCAATGACTTAGTTGGAGATAAGGTTGTGGTTAATCCACTTGTAACTGGAAAGACTTGCTTTAATCCACCTGTAACAGACAAGACTTGCTTGGATCAGAAAGTCTATCCAATAAAAAATGAAATCCCTGATTTATACCAGCTACTGGAAATATAACAAAAAAAACCATCTTGAAAATGATGTTTATCAGGAAATTATTCCTTTAGCTAACATATATATTTCTGAGGCTTTGATGAGGCATTTTATTCCTTGTTCGGATCAGTCAAAAGGTATAAATCGTATGATCCTCTTTCAAGTATCCGTTTATTTTATTATAATCAAGGTGATCAGCGACAATCACTTGTCGTCGAACAGAGAAAAGATCCTGAGATCTCCCGTTTGTTTCAGAGGGCTGTTAGTGAAACTGAAGCTACAAAACTACCTGCTTGTCTTTTTTTTTAATGGATTCTTATGACAAAATGGAGACCACCTGAGGTACCCGATGTGACGAGTGGGTAGTGAAATATCAAATTGTTGTTCCAAAATCATAGAGGCAGGAAATTCTTAGTTTGGCCCAAGAAACATCTTTGGCTGGTCATTTAGTGATCAGTAAGACGTATAATAAGACACATGTATTAGTCAGGCTTTTAATATGGTCACATTTGCTCCTCGTTTTAATCAATCAAATGACATCAATCACAGTGATTCTCTTTTAACTACTCATTATCTTTATTCTGAGCAGGGTGACAAGCAACAATCACTTTTTTTAGAATTATAAAAAGATCCTGAGATCTGTCTGTTTCAGACGGCCATTAGTGAATTGAAGCCACAAAAGTACCTGTTTGTTATTTTGGTAAAAATTAGATTTTAATGAGAAAATGGGCACTTCCATAGGTACCCGCTGGTGACGAGTGGTCTGATAAACATCAAATTGTTATTCCAAAATGGTACAGACAGGAAATTTTTAGTCTGGACCATAGAACTCCTTTAGTTGGTTATTTAGGGATCAATAAAACTTATCTCATTGTCTTGAATCACTTTTATTGGCCAAAAATTAAAAGTGATGTTTGTTAATGCTGTAGATCATGTCTCACTTGCCATATGGAAGAAAAACCCAATCAGAAGATACATAAGGCTCATCTGCAACTCGTTTTTGCACGTGACAAACCATTTAGCAGAATAATGGTAGATTGCGTGGATGCATTCACTTAAACCAAGTCAGGAAACTAATTCTTGTTGACCATAATGTGTGCGTCTACAAGATTCCCAGAGGCAATTCGTTTAAAGAATATTAAATCTAAAACAACAGTAAAAGCTTTGATAAAGCTTTCTACTCAATTTGGCCATCCTAAGTATGTCCGACTTGAGCAAGGGTCAATTTTCATGTCTGGAATTTTCTATCAAGTTATGCATGAATTAGGAGTCCATCAATTCAAGTCCAAAGTGAGATTAGGGTTCGACAGAACTACAACGGAGAGAACGTTTTGGTCTGGTAATAAGGTCTTTTCCTCATTCTTCCAAATTTTTTTTCAGATTAGCTTTTATGGTCCTTGCAAAGTAAAAAAATAAAATAAATGAGTTAAATTACAATGTTAGTATTTCTGGAATGTAAATATATTAAATGAGTACCATTATGTTGATAACCAGGTTTGTCATGTAATTAATTTAGTTGTACCTGACCCACACAGCGAGGATTTAATGGATGGAATGCAATCAGACTATATTGATTCTGGAATAACTAATCTTAAGAATTCAGAAATCATTAATAATCTGGACCAGAAATTTTCATATATGCAGCAACAAAAAAAAACCTGAATTAAACAGCTATTGCTTGAATAGGAACACTTGTTTCCAGATGTTCCTACGCGAACAAATAAAATCTACCATGACACTGAAATTCTAGATTCCATACATGTCAAACAACATAAGAATTTAGTATTTGCTGGAGAATGATTTTACAGAGCCCAGTACACGTGACTGGAGTTCATTATGCATACTTGTACCGAAATTACTCAATACTTTGCGCATGTCTACAGACTTTAGAAAGGTCCATTGGGAAGAATTCAACAAATATCTTCTTATTGCTGATGAGGTTGGTGTTTCCGTCTAAGGTCTATAGTGTTGTGGAACAATTAAATCGATATTTTGAAGAAAAAACAAAGTCAG